AAGACGCCCAAGATGGCCTCTAAGATGGTCCTGGAGCACCCCAAGATGGCCCCAAGTCGGCCCAGAGAGGCCCCCCAAACGGCTTCCGACGGCGTCAGACGGGCCAGAAGCCCACCAAGATGGCCGAAGTTGGCTCGAAGCTGGCCCAAAACGGCCCAAGAGGCCTCCAAGAGGGCGTCCAGAAAGGCCAGAAAATGTCCAAAACATTGGTTTGCCTTAGGTTTGTTTAAGGACTTTGACATTTGCTTCTTTTCGGCCTTCCGACGGCCCGAGAGAAAGAGCTCCCAAAGATCACCCACAGATCGCCAAAGAGGCCTCCAAGATGGCCCCAGAACGGCCCAAGAGACATCCAAGACGGCCCTGGAGCATTCCAAGAGGGCCCCAAGTCAGCCCAGAGAGGCCCCCCCAACGGCTTCCGACGGCGTCGGACGGGCCAGGAGCCCACCAAAACAGCCGAAGATGGCCCTAAGATGGCCCAAGACGGCCAAAGAGGCCTCCAAGAGGGCCGCCAGGAAGGTCTGCAAAGGCCAACATCATTGATGTCCCATGAGTTTTCGAAGGATCGTGGCATTTGCTTTTTCGTCGGCCTTCCGACGGCCCGAGGCGGCCCAAAAGCCCCCAAAGATGTCCCAAGAGGCCCAAGACGGCCCCAAGAGGCCCCCAAGACGGCCTAAGAGGCCTCCAAGACGCTCAAGATGGCCTCCAAGGCGGCCCAAGAGCACTCCAAGACGTCCTCCAAGGAGGCCCGAAAGGGTCAAAATGGCCTCCAGACGGCCAAGATGACCTTCAAGATGCCCACGTGTTCCCTGAAGGATTTCCAAACCGATTCGGAGAACACATGGTCCGATAGCTTGGCAGGTCTGGCCTCAACGTTCGGCCACATAGGTGCTTCCAAAAAGGCAGGGGGCGGCGGTGATTCGCCGTAGGCGTCTTCGATACATGCAGAGTGAGAAGGGGAGGGAGGGACAAAGAGAGGAGAGACGAGGGCAAAGGAGGATCACATCAGTCGGAACGCCCCGGATCGGCGGCTCTGGCCGGAGGCCACTACAATATACATGTGTATATATATATATATATGTATATGATCGACCGCGCTCGTGGGGGGGCCACCAGCTTGAAGCTGCCCCCCTCCCCCCTTCCTTGCTAAAGGGGGGGGGCTTCCGAAGCCCCCCCCCTCCCCCCCTTTTCGTGGTCCGGAAAGGAGGGGGGGGCTTCCAATATACCCCCCCCTCCCTCCCTTTAATTGAGCCGGGGGGGTGAGCCACCCCCCCCCTTTGAAAGGGGGGGGGGGCTTCGGAAGCTACCCCCCCCCTCCCCCTCTTTCGTGGCCAAAAAAAGGGGGGGGGGCTTATCATTTAATGGAGCTGGGGTGAGCCCCCCCTTTGAAAGGGAGGGGGCTTTGGAAGCCCCCCCCCATCCTCCCTCCCTTGGTGCAGCCGGGGGGGCTTGAAGCCCCCCCCCCCTTCCCCCCTTTTGCCGCCCAGCTCCCGAGCCATCCGCCCTCTCCTTTTCGCCTCCATTTATTCTTTCGCCTCCATGTATTTCCGCCCCTCTCCCTCCTCCTCTTCTTCCTTTTGCCTCCTCCTCTTCCTCGTCCTCCTCATCCTCCTCATAGTCATCATCGTCATCATCATCATCATCATCATCATCATCATCATCATCATCATCATCATCATCATCATCATCATCATCAATCATCATCAATCATCATCATCATCATCATCATCATCATCATCATCATCATCATCATCAGCATCATCAGCATCGTCCTCCCCCGCGGGCCCTTTCGTTTCCGTTCCCTCCTCCTCCTCGGTCTTCTATTCCTCCTCCTCCGCCTCCATGTTTTGCCCTCCTCCTCCTCCCTCCTCCTCAATCATCATCATCAATCCTCTCCTCTTTCCTCCTCCTCCTCCTCCATCCTCCTCCCTCTCCTCCTCCTCCTCCTCCTCCTCCTCCTCCTCTCTTTCCTCCTCCTTCTCTTGTTTCCTCCTTCCTCCTCCCACCCCTCCCTTTCCTCATTCTTCCGCCTCCTTCCTCTTCCTCCTCCTCCGCCTCCTCCTCCTCCTCCTCCTCCTCTTCCTCCCCCTCTCCGCCTCCCCCATCCTCCGCCTCCTCCTCCCCCAGCTGGCCGCCGTCTTACACGAACACTGCCAAAACCGACGGGCTGGCGTTCTCCGAATTACACTTCGTGCAACTTTCGGGGGGGGGGGGGAATAGTATTTTTCCCCACCCTCCTTGGTTGGGTATTCGTTTTGAATAGAGCAGTGTGGTCTCCACTTCCTCCTTCCCGTCCCGTCTCCCTCTTGCCTCCTCCTGTCTTGCTTGCGGGGGGCTGCGATCTGTGAAACTGTCGCCACTTTCGAGGCTTGCTGGGGGGCCCAGCACAGTGACGCCACGGGCGGACCCAAATTAGACCTCGCCATCCCTGGGGGGCTGCGATCTGTGAAACTGTCGCCACTTTCGAGGCCTGCTGGGGGGCCCAGCACAGTGACGCCACGGGCGGACCCAAATTAGACCTCGCCATCCCTGGGGGGCTGCGATCTGTGAAACTGTCGCCACTTTCGAGGCCTGCTGGGGGGCCCAGCACAGTGACGCCACGGGCGGACCCAAATTAGACCTCGCCATCCCTGGGGGGGCTGCGATCTGTGAAACTGTCGCCACTTTCGAGGCCTGCTGGGGGGCCCAGCACAGTGACGCCACGCGCGGACCCAAATTAGACCTCGCCATCCCTGGGGGGCTGCGATCTGAGATCCCCGCTTTCGAAGTGGCTAGGGTTGCTCAGGGATTGCAACTAATCAGCTTTATCTAGTCCTTGTCCTGAAGCCAGTTTCCTGCGAGTCTCCCGAATTCCGTCTGCAGACATATGTAACCCTCGCTCCGTCATCGCCCCCCTTATAAAGTGTCCTAAACTATTTGCGCCCCGCGTTTGCGCAGGGGTTGGGTACGTCGCCAGGGTATTTTTTCGTTCCCGGGCGTTGGCACGGGAAGAGTTGAATGATACACTTGCGTTGCAATCGATTGCAATCCATTGGATTGCAAACGATTCGATTGCAATCCATTGGATTGCAATCGATTGGATTGCAATCGGTTGAATTGCAATCGATTCAATCGATTGGATTGCAGGGGAGGGACAGGACGGAAGGGAGGGAGGGGAGGAGAGGGAGGGGAGGGAGGAGATGGAACGAAGGGTGTGGAGGGAGGGGAGGGAGCGGAGGGAGGTGGGGAGGGGGATTGCAGTGGAATGGAGTGCAATCGATTGCAAGCGATTCGATTGGGATTTTCGATCGTCGATCGTTGATCGTCGATCGTCCATCCTCGATCGTGGATTGTTCATTTTGGATCGTCGCGAAAGGAGGGCGGAGGCTCCGGGGGCTGGGCGGCCAAAGGGGGCTGGGCGGCCAAATGGGGGAAGGGGGGGGGGGCTTCCAAGCCCCCCCCCTTTGGCACAAAGGGGGGGAGGGGGGGGGAGCTTTCCAGGGGTGGGTAGCTTAAGCACCCCCCTCCCTTTGGAAAGGGGGGTAGGGGGGGGGGATAGCTTCCGGGGCGGCCAGGGCGGGCCAAAGGGGAGGGGGGGTACCCCCAAGCAACCCCCCTCCCTGGCACGAGGGGGAGGGGGGGGGGGAGCTTCCAGCAGGGCACGCCAATGGAGGGGGTTAGCTTTATACCCCCCCCCAGCTTTGGAAAGGGGGGAGGGGGGGGTAGCTTCCGGGGAGGGCCCAAGGGGGGAGGGGGGGGTAGCTGTAAGCCCCCCCCCTTGCAAAAAAAAGGGGGGGAGGGGGGGGGGTGCTTCCAACAAGGGCGGCTCAAGGGAGGGGGGGGTAGCTTAAGCCTAGCCCCCCCTCCCCTTTGCTCGGGCCCTGTGGGCGCGCTCTCTCTCTCTCTCTCTCTCTCTCTCTCGTCTCTCTCTCTCTCCACATATATATATATATACAACATTCATACAATACATATGTATAATCAAGCTTCCCGTATTCATTCCATAGTACACGTTCCCCCTTCCTCTCTCCTCTCTCCTCCTGCTCCTCTTCTCCTCCTCCTCCCTCCTCGTCATCATCATCATCACTATCACCATCACCATCACCATCACCATCACATCAGCATCACCATCATCATCACATCAGCATCACCATCATCATCATCATCATCATCATCATCATCATCATCATCATCATGATCATCATCATCCTCATCATCATCAGCATCATCATCAGCATCAGCATCATCATCATCATCATCATCATCATCATGATCATCATCATCCTCATCCTCAGCATCAGCATCATCATCATCAGCATCATCATCATTATCCTCATCCTCATCCTCAGCATCAGCAGCATTATCATCATCATCATCACCATCATCAGCATCATCATCATCCTCATCCTCATTCTCAGCATCATCCTCATCAGCATCATCATCCTCATCCTCATCCTCATCCTCATCCTCAGCATCAGCATCAGCATCAGCATCAGCATCAGCATCAGCATCAGCATCAGCATCAGCAGCATCATCATCATCATCATCATCATCATCATCATCATCATCATCATCATCATCATCATCATCATCATCATCATCATCATCCCCCCATCCTACATCATGGTGTGCCCCTGAACCCTGCCTTCCTTTTCCGCCCGACTGATACTCCCTCCCTCCTCCCCCCTCCCTCCCCCTCCCCCTGAGGAAAGAAGGATGAGGAAGGAGGCGGAGAAGGAGGGAGCAGGGGACGGGAAACCTTCCCAGACGTCCGACGATATGATCTTTTCAGTGGGAGGCCCCAAAGATCCCGACTCCTTCCCCAGGGTCGATTTATTTCGCCCCGGATCCTTTTCTCCTGGCCCCGGGCCCAGACATCGAGGAGCACACGCCCAGGTTGAAAAAATAAGATCGTCGGAGACCTCGGCCCTTTCTCCCTCCCTCCTGCCTCCTCCCACTATTCCCCCTGCATCCCTCTCCCCGCCCAGCGCTGCCCCCCGCCCGGCGCTGCCCGCCGCTCGCTC